TAGTGTCTGATCAGCTCATTGGACCGCTTCTAGCTCCTCTCAATCCCGCCGCTACCACTCCTCCATTGCCGCCCGCTCAAACGGAGCTCACACTCTGCTCTCGCAATTTTGCTCCAGGTGTTGAGCTCGATCTCTCAAGAATCGATTCTAGTTCTTTATCCCACAACCAACCGACGGCTCTGACCACGCTCCACGACACCATACTAAGCCGCCCACACCCCTCCATGCGCCTGTGATCGACGCCTTCCACCAGCCAACCCTGTTTTCACGTCCCGACCCAGCAACATCCAACGATGCGAACTTGGAAGACAGATTTTCTCCTCAAACCCCGGTCCAGCCCGTCAATCTGATTTTCAGAGACTAGGCCCCAGCATTCTCCCTCTCCCGTGCACCCGCATTCGCTCAGATTTCCCAATCAAATCCGCTCGCATGCCTTAAGTCTAGTGTCACCGCCTGTTCCGACTCCGTCGAGGTTGAAGCTACCCTTGAGGAATTAGCGGTTGAAGCTGCCAAACGAATTGAATGACAATTGGTGGATTATGGAAATGGGGAGATTGAGTTAAATGCCAACTATATTGTTTGTACTAAGAGACCAGGCCCCAGCATTCTCCCTCTCCCGTGCACCCGCATTCGCTCAGATTTCCCAATCAAATCCGCTCGCATGCCTTAAGTCTAGTGTCGCCGCCTGTTCCGACTCCGTCGAGGTTGAAGCTGCCCTTGAGGAATTAGCGGTTGAAGCTGCCAAACGAATTGAACGACAATTGGTTGATTATGGAAATGGGGAGATTGAGTTAAATGCCAACTATATTGTTTGTACTAAGGACGTTCTCATTACTGGTGTGAAAATGCCTGGTATAAATTCTAGTGACAAGGTTGATCCAATGCAATGCTCTCAAACTGATCGATGAAATGTCACTGAAGGATCTGATACTAAATTTGCTGGCCTAGGAATCCCTATGGCAAGCCTTATTTTCTGCGCATCTTCTGTTAGACCAAGTAATCCTTTGAGGCATGATGAATGGAATGATCCCAACTTGATGAGGCTGGAGGAGGTTGTGCAGAAATTTGATGAAGTTCCCGCTGAGTCCTCATACACCATTGTTGATCACACATATGATGCTGTGGTGGTTGGAGCTGGTGGTGCTGGGCTTAGAGCATCTATTTGACTCATAGAACATGGTTTCAATACGGCTTGCATCACGAAGCTCTTCCCCACTAGGTCTCATACTGTTGTTGCGCAGGGTGGGATTAATGCAGCATTGGGAAATATGACTGAGGATGACTGGAGATGGCACATCTATGATACAGTCCTAGGAAGCGATTGGTTAGGTGATCAAGACGCTATTCAATATATATGTAGAGATCGAGGCACCAAAGACAGTCATTGAACTTGAAAATTATGGTCTTCCATTTTCTAGAACAGAAGATGGAAAAATATATCAGCGTGCTTTTGGAGGGAAAAACTTGAATTTTGTAAAAGGTGGCAAAGCTTATCGTTGCGTTTGTGCTGCTGCTCGCAATGGCCATGCATTATTACACACTCTTTATGGCCAGGCAATGAAGCATAACACTCAGTTCTTCGTTGAATATTTTGCATTAGATCTTCTTATGGATAGCATCGGGTCCTGTCAAGGTGTGATTGCACTTAACATGGAGGATGGAACACTTCATCGATTTAGTGCCAAATCCACAATTTTAGCCACTAGAGGCTATGGAAGAGCTTACTTTCTGCAACCTCTACTCATACATGCACTGGAGATGGTAATGCTATGGTAGCTCATGCTGGTTTACCTCTTGATGATCTCGAGTTTGTACAGTTCCAACCTACAGTTCCAGCTAAGGTTAGTCTTTTTATTCATCTTTTAGAAAGTACAAAGCAGCAACAGCATGAGTTGTACAAAGCATGTGAAGCAGGATCCTTGCCTAGAAATGATCACATCGGTAGAGGCAAGGACAAGGAGTTGGCTATGCAGTGGTTAAGAAAGCCATCAAATGAGCATCCTGGAACTGATTTGTACACAAACATTTCTCTTCTAGCTATAGTGGAGCATGGTGGTAAAGGAAAAGCAAATCTCTTGCAACATGTGTATGATGATGAAATGACTGAGGAATTTGATCCTAAATTGTGGATTTGTGTATCCAAAAACTTTGATGTGAAAATCCATTGGAGCCAGCAGATCCCTGAAGGTGCTTCTCTTGAAGCAAAGTGGAATGCAAAATTTGCTGAATATGAGAAGAAGTACGCAGCAGAGCTGAAAGCCATCATTTTTGGAGAACTTCCTGCATGATGGGAGAAAGCTCTGCCGACTTACACTCCGGAGAGCAACACATATGTTACTCGTAACCTCTTTCAGCAATACCATAATTCCCTTGCGTCTGCCCTCCCAGATTTCCTTGGAGGAAGTGCTGATCTTGCTTCTTCCAACATGATATTATTGAAAAGTTTTGTGGAGTTCCAAAAGACCACTCCATAGGAGAGAAATATATATAACAAAATTTTCGATACAGGAATCTAATTTTCTGCAACTACCTCCCTTCTAATAACGCGTCTCGACGGAGTCGAGCTCTTTTGATGCAAGGGGAGAATGATGCGAAGCATTTTAAGCTTGAAGTGTTCCTTAGGATATCTTATCTAGTTTGTTATGAGTTTTTCTAGAATCTTCTATAGTTAGTTTATATAGGTATGTTTTGTAGTAGGATGGCTAATTGAAGATTATTATAACATTTTAAGGCTTTGAAGCTTTGTTTCTCTTCTTCCCTGGATTGGGATCGAAATCCTTCTTGCAGGTCGATTCTTCCGACGATCCACTACATCAGATATTACCTTCTTCATGATACCTTGGGATCTGAGATACACTTGAGTTATCTACCTTTGCTAGAAGATTTGGGATTATTCAGTACTTACTCCCTTGGTGGAGCAGGTTTAGGTCACCTTTACAGAGAGCTCGCTCTTGCTACTAACCTGAGCATGGCTAATATTGTTGGGTGCATCCACTTTCTACGTATTTGGTGTTGGGAGCACATTCATGTGGGCCGTCCAACACTCCATGTTCCACATCATGTTTCTCTTGAAGGTCTTAGCGTCAGTTACTGGAAAAAAAGATAACTAATTACTTTTTTTTTTTTGCATTTGTTGCTACTAATTTTCACATGTTTACTAATAGGTGGAATGAAGCTGAAGCGAGACAGCTTCCTGCAACAACCATTAGTATTTATACAGATTAGCTAGATGGATTTTTGGATAGCCATATACTTATAATTTAAGTATTCTTTTTGTACTATTGACCAAGAAATCACGATATGAAATACAGTTACACAAATTTCAAATTTGTATAAGTAGTTTAGGAGCCATACACTCCATATATTCGTGCACAACTTGCAAATATATGTCTCATGGGAGAGTAGATCTTGATGGCACGTGTGCCACTTATTAGCTGGACTAGAGTTGAGTGGCACTTGTCTGATAGAGTGATATAAAAATTTGGGTATGTCCCTTCAATTGATATACTTTCACTGGATCCTAGCTTCATCGTTCAGATGGCTGAGGGAAGTCTAGCACAGATTGGATGGTATATTATCATAACTTCATTGACATGTGGGAGGATAGACGATCATGTTTTGTGCAAGGTATACTTATAGGCCCTGACAGTGGGCGACTCATTCACCGTTACTTACATTGGTTTCGTTCATGGGCAACATTCTACATGCTTAAGCCACCTCTCGAGCCTCCAACGACTTACTACCAATGTGCACCCTTAGAGCGTCATCTGGTTAGTAGTAAACCTCGATCAAATTTCTTAATTTTATCTATTTGTAAAAATTTACAACCACAGTCTAACCAATAAACTTAATATGTTCAGCGTAACTACTTCCTCGAGTCAAATATCACAATGCAGCCATATTTTGGTAGACATGACTTAGCAAAAAATTGTAACAACGAACAAGAAGAAGGAATAAGAAGATAGGTGATGAGATATTCGTCATATTCAATTATCATAGGCTTGAATAATGATTGATGTTCAGAAGCAGAGAGAAATTTATTGCAAAAGCTGTCACAAAATCGGGAAATTAAAAATCTGGGATTAAGAAGACCATTTTGATAAATGGGTGAGATGGAAGAGCGAAGAGCTAGCGGTCGTTGTGCAGTGACGTAGACGCGTAGTAATAAGAGGTAGTGGCTGCTGTGCTATGACGTGGTGCTACAACAGTTTTTTATTCAATCAATAGTATTAAGGTGAGCATATTTGTCTTTTGGTGAATTTATTAATTTTGTTTTTAATGATTAAATATGTTCCACATTTATTTATTTGTGGATACAAAAGTAAATTTTTTAAAAATACTTATATATATATATGCTCTAAAAATATAAAAAAAAAAACTAAACGCTACACCTCAATGAACGCACTCCTTGTCCTTCCCCTTCATTACATGCTTTAACCCCAGTTCTTTTTTTTTTTCAAAAAACTCGTACATACAAAAACATAAAGCTGTTTAATTTAAAAAATATATATTTAAAATAAAAAAAGGGCGGAAGACATAAAGTAACTAAACATAGACAGAGGGCGAATTAAAGACCAAAGCGACCGACGGCGTCAGGTGCGTTTCCTCCGGCGTGGCGGAGACCGAGTGTGAGCGACAAGTCCCCTGTTCTTGCTGCGGCGGTGGCGGCTGCTCTGCGATACATTTCATCGTCGAGCGGTGGCGGCGGAAAAATGAGGGAATTAGAAGCGATAAGATCATGAGGCGGCGGAGCTGCAGGTTGATCATGAGTTTGTGGAGCATCGTGGCGGAGGCGGCCATAATGCTCAAGTTGTGGTCTGGAGGTAATAGAGACGTGAGTTTCTGGAGGAGCATCGGATTCCGGACTGTGAGAAGGCTGCTTCTGCTGCTGCTGCGTTGTGGGCGCTGCGGCCAATAATATTCGGTGGGGGGCGTTTGTTTCCTGATCTTCTTCATTGATCTGCGAATCTTCCTCCTGTGCTTCTTGTTGGTACATGTCTTCTACCATAGGTTTCCACAACCGGACTCTGGCATTTATGAACCAGTTGGAGACCTACATATGCCACAAGAACGTACGCACATAAAAGAAATATTAAAAAGTAAATTAGACATGAAAAAGGAGGAATAGTAAGTACTGGCTAGTGATCGATCGATCGATCGAGGCCAGGGAGCTGGGGACAGTTGTTTTTGGAAGGATACTATTGAGTGCTACTATACATGATGGGCTTCTTGTCGTCTGTCTTTCTGGTGATAATTTTGGAAGCTGGTGGTCATAACAATCAATTTTATATGCATACATATTAATAGATCGGGTTAATTTATTTATTAATTAACTGCTGCGCGCCACGACATGCATGTGGTGGGGTTAAAATGGCAGGCCTGACTGATCGAGGAATGGACCTCTCCTAAATCTGCTGAAAGTGATATTTACGATCGAGTAAAAAACCAGTTTCCACCAATCTATTGCTCAATAATATATAACAATAATAGAAACTGCCTTTACATATATGATATATTGATTAACTAGGCCAGACAGATTTTTACATGTTACTTTCACTGCTAGCGCCTAGCTGTGTATAATTTCTCTGCCAATATCCTAATAGCAAAGATATGTAAGAAATCGATCTGCCATAGGAAAAGGATGGTTCAGGAGAGCATATAAACGAAAGAGTTGACACTATCTAGGAGCATTAATTTTGTTTCTGGCGAACTATTGATGAGTTTCGAAAAAGCTGCCTGCAGCTCTTTCATGGAGGACCACGGACACAAACATCCACGCGCAGTAAGAGAGAGAGAGAGAGAGAGAGAGAGACAGAGAGAGATTGGACCTGGTTTCTGGATAGCCCTGTCTTCCTTGCCAACAAGTGCTTATCAGCATCGCTAGGGTACCTGTGCGTTCGCAGCAAAATAAACGATGAGCATGCCATATAACGCAATAAATCATTGAATTTATTAGTAGCTTGATCGAGTTTACTGTACATGATTTCTTGTAGATTTTGAAAATAGAAGACAAACGACTGCAAAGAGTATTAATTACCTTTTCTTTCAAGCACTTGCTCTTCCTAGATCTTATAATTAAGTAGATAGAGCAAATTAAGGGAACTAATGACGATCGAAGGGTACAAAGTTATTTCTCTCTACTGTCAGTTTCTATTGAGTAAGAAATATCTAAGTGATAAGAAATTGAGCTACCATACTCCACTTCATGATGATTAATTAGCTTTCCATGCCATGAAGTTAATATATTTGTCTACATATTATGTCGGATATAAAATAAATATGTGATAATGCTGACAATATATATTACGTTATTTTTTAATATATAATATTATAATAAGTCATTAAAATCAACTAATTCAAGAAAGTGAAAAAAAGTATTTCTATGGATTCAGCAAACAAGCAATTAATAAAATTTCTGCTAAATTGTTCTGATTTTTTAGTAGTTTCGCATGATTTCTAATTTAAAATTTTCCGGATAAATCTTGATCAGGATGTCAAATATGTTGTTGATCTTGCTTCTCACATGCATGCAATGAATCATAGCCATTGTTCCCCACTCCGAATTAGCCCCTTAACTACCAACCTGCTTTCTTCACATCTCTCCCTTAATTTGATTATTATTTCCCAAATACATATTTGATAATAATCAAATCCTCGACGTTGGATATAACCAAATGTGATCCAACAATAATTAACTGATTTTTCAATAATCAGATGTTATCAGAGTGAAACAAGATCAGAGGATTGAAAATTTAATTAAAATACAAAAAAAAAAGTTCGAAAACATAATACCTGTTAGCAAGAAAATATAAAAATTAAATTAAATAAAAGTGATTGGAATCGTAGATGAATTTCCCAAAACATGACTGGTAGCGTTTTTATATTGATTTGGTGCATTGACAAATCTCCATCCTATTGGCATTTTCAAAGATTATGACTTCAACAGATTTACGATCAAGCTCCTCAAACGAATTTACGTTTATACATATTTAATTTGAGTAATGACTTACCCATTCAAAAGTTTAACATCACACGAAAACAATAAATATTACTTATTATTTTTATGGCCAGCTGACTTATTTTCAATTTTTTTTTAAACGGATGAAACGTTGCTCATTTGACTCATTAAGAGAGGGAAATTTTTTTTCAAATAAAGAAATGCTGGCACTATGCTCTCTCTCTCTCTCTCTCTCTCTCTCTCTCGTGTATATATATATATCTTGAAGTAGCAGCGTCCTTACCTTGTGTATATGGCCAAGCAGATTCTTTTCTGCTTCTCATGTAAAATATAACATAAGATGGAATTCATTAATGTAAGGGGAATGAAACTAATAAGGAGACTAAGGGTTCCTTTGAGACAATTATTTTACTGTTTTGTAAAATAGTTTTTTAATATAAATTTTTTTTACTGCTTTAGAAAATATAAGGAAAAATGTTCCAAAGAAAATCTAATTAAAAAAAAAAACAGTAGGGGTTAGGGTAAGAGAGGAAAGGAGATCGAGATAAGAGATGATGAAAATTAAAAAGAATTAAAGAACACAATAATCAGCATAAATCATATATACTATAAGAAGCGTAGATAATATATAATTACAAATTATTGTGATTTGCATTAATGATCAAGCAATGTGAATGAATATAATGAATTAAAGTAAAAAAAGATTAGTCGGACAATTAAAAAAATAACGTGTTGAAATTATGTAAGTAGGCATGGAAGATGTGCAATTAATTGGAAGAAATTAAGAGAAGGAGACGCAGAGGTAAGATAATTATACATACGGGTGAAGAAAGTGCTCAAAAAGCCAAGATCTGAGTATGGAGACTGATCTGTCTGGCAAACCTCGCTGTGGTCTCCAGGCCTCCTGTTCCATCATTCCCATCTGATGAAAAGCCCTCTGTTGCCTTAAATTCTGATCAATAAGCCTTAGCTTGGGTGTCTCCCCTTTTGTGAGTCCAGAACCGCTTCCCCCATCATTGTCACCGAGAAGCTCGCAGGCCTGCTTAAGCTGGACGGTGATAGCATCCTTGAGGCATCTGAAATGCCTTGACATTGCCTTCCGAGCAAGTGCTGTGTACGGCATGGCAGCGCCGAACCCCATTACCGAGTCAAATGAGTTCACCACCATTTGCATCTGCTCGCAGTAGTGGTTGTATCTCTTCTCCACCTGCGCAAGCATCCACTTTTATATTTATTTATAATTATAAATATTGTCTTCTATCATAATTTCATATGACATTTATTAACATAGAAATGAAAAAAAAAAAATGACATTTATTAACTTCATACAAAATTAATTTATTTATCATTAACTTGTTATAAATATGCATATATATATATAGACGTAGGTGACGTTGCCAAGTAAATTAATTATGAGATGCATTCGCATTGATTGCAGTTCGATCTATAGTATGATTTTTATTAATTTGTTTGGTCTGCATGCACTCACAAATGATAATGATAATAATAATGTAATTGAGATGATCAGACTAAGACGGCTCACCAAACTGGCCTCAGGGATGACCTCACCTGCACACCACATATATTCCGCCCTACTTCGCACAACCTAATTTATATATTTATGCATACAACCTCAGCATAAAGTACTGCATAATGTAGCGCGCAAAATTCTGATTAAATGATACCGAGGAGAGCTAGCGCGACGTTCTAATCAGCTGGTGTAATTATTTCATAATTAATTAATAAAAAATATGGTGCAAGGAAATAATTAAGTATGAATCGAACATACATATATAACTGCCCTTAATCCTAGCTTCTGCAATAATTGTTCAGTTGTGATGAAAAGAAGCTAGCTAGCTTCTTCTCCCCTATCAGACCGAGCCTCGTCGAATATAAAATTCCAAAGCTAATTCAACAGACATATATATAAGACAAAATTTCAGTTGTAACTGATTCATCGATCGATCGATGAGGTGCGAGTTAATTAATTATTTGTCCATTAATATTATGTATGTCTCTAATAAAAAAAGGGTGCCTAATTTCACTTTGCCTGAAATTAAGAAGACTGGCGCCAATTCGCCGGCGTTGATTAATTTTGAGAATTTTAGGGTGGTCCACGGAGACAAGCTAGCTACAATCCAGTACATACTGACCCTAATGACAAGAGAGCGAATTTACCATAGTGAATATTCAGTAAAACTGCACTGCGAGAGAGAGAGAGAGAGAGAGAGAGAGAGAGAGAGAGAGAGAGAGTTATTTGATTAAGGCTTGCCTCGTCAAGCATGGAAAGGAGTTTTGATTTCTTTCTCTGATTCTCAAACCGATCGGCCGGAGACAAGGCTGGTATGTCCTTCGAAGACGAAGATGACGCTGCGGCGGTGGAGCTGGAGACACCTCTACCACCGTGGCTGAGAAGGTTAGGATTAATGGATGAACTCCTCATGCCAGTTGTATTCCCTCTGACGTGGCCCCTACTAACGCTGCAAAACTCCTCAAGCAGCTCCTGCGCTGCCCTTGCGTACTTGGAATTCCTTAGCACGTTTGCTGTACTAATGGAGCCGTAGGTCGACGACGACGACATATGCAACTGTTGATATTGACCTTGGCTTTGATGACTAGCATGCGACTGCAAACAAGTTGACGGCGGCTGCGGTGGCTGATGGATACTAGTCGTATGCAACTGTTGTTCTTGCTGCTGTTGGCTGTTGTAGAATAAGAGGCTGGCAGCTGCAGATCCAGATTGCGATCTAACACCCCTCAGCTCCTCCGCTTTTCTCATCTCCAACTGCTGCAAAGACGAAGATAGCGAAAGGGAAGGCCCTACTTGGCTTTCCCTCATCCCCCCTCCGAAGCTTACGCCTTCTCCAAATATCGAGGCGCCATCGCTGCCTCCTAAGAAAACTTGGCTTTGGTCATGATGATGATGATGATGAAGTAGCGTGGCTGGGCCCATCGGAGACTGATGAGGATCATCATGACGATTAGGAGAATTAGAAGGGCGTTGATGGTGCTGCATCGCCGCTGCTGATGGTGGTGGGTTCATGAAGAAGAGCCGCATAGCCGTCGAGGACGAAGGCGAGGAGGAATCAGTGGCAGCTGAGTTCAATCCATGTTGCTTAGCCGCCGCCAACGCCGCAACATGATCTTGATCAATTAGTACTGATGACGAAGAGATCCAATTATTAGTATTAATAATATTAGCCGTAGCACTGGTATTACTCATGAAGGCCAGTCCCTGCGGTCTGTTGTTGCTTCCATAAAAGTCGGGCCTGATCTGCTGGATCATACGATGGTAGCCAGCTGGAGGATTAGTACTAGTATCATGAGCATGAGCAGCTGCAGCAGTAGCAAGAACATCAGCCGGCCCCCCATAATTGAACATCTCCGACAACATGTTGGTGCCTCTTGTAGCCAAGGGAGCCCCGTAGATGCCGCCTTCCTCTTCTTCCTCTTCCTCCTCGTCCTCCACCTCCTCCTCTATAGGCACAAGAGTATGGCTGTGAGATGCCGCTACAGCAACCTCCAAGCCAGATTGCACCCTCAGCTTCTCTGATCTCCTGTTTTGATGCCGGTTCTGCTGCGCCCTTTCCAACTCATCATCATCATCATTATCATCGGAGGATGAGAAGCTGAAGATGTTGCCTTGGAGCATGGAAGCTTCCTTTGGACATAGGGATCACTCTCACAGATAAAATAATACCAGAGAAATTAGATGGCAACTGCTGGGGCAGTGGCGGCGGCGGCGGTGTCGACGCTACACCCATCTCAGTACCAGCAGCTTATTTATCATCGTCGCCTAGCACAAATCGATTTCCTCTTTAATTCCTGCCAAAGATAGATAAATTAAATTGTATAATATATAATATTAATTCAGAACCAAGCTTCCAAATCATATATCTCTTCCTCCGGATCGAGAAATTTAATTACCTGCTTGTACTTCTGAAGTCGATGATCGAAAAAGCCCAAGCTCTTAATTTCAACAAATCCGTAGCCGGTAAAAATCCTCGTCTTTCTTTGGATTATTTGAAAGGTTCCTATTCCTTTCATGCATCCACCGACGGCTCCATCCCCTTCCTCTATATTTTCTCTCTCTTCCCCTCCGACAATCGCCTTCGGAAAGTGAAGAAGATGAGGGTAAAAATAAATTAAAATTAATGAAAAAAAAGTTTATAGAATAGCGGCGAGTATCGAACAGGCCAAAGATAATGGGTCGCTGTTCCTCTCTCTCTCCCCTCCCCAACAGTACCCATTGACTCATTTCCCCCCAACTTTTTTTAATTTTTATTTTTCCAACTACCTTTTCATAAAATATATTATATGTATAAATAAATAAGCCAAATTGTTCCAAATATTATATTACGTAAACGTAAATTAAGAAAAGAAAAAGGTCCTTTCGCGTCCCATTCACTGTGCAACGGTAGAATCCCGAATGCGATATACTACCCGAACATTTTCGAGAGATTTTTTGAAGAAAAATGAGCAAATATGTTATGCTTATTTTAAAATAAATTTAAGAATTTAATACGGTCGTTTTAATTAAATTTCAATCAGAATATGATCCCTCAAAGAAAATAATATAAAGATTAAGGCGAACCGGGTTTTATTTTTTTATTTTTCTTTAATTGCCAACTCACTCGACTCGACCTGATAGACCCCATTGATACCAAAAAGAAAAGGGCCGGCACACCACTCCTGTATTAAAATTGCGTTATGTTGTCATAATTTAATAAACAAATACAAATCGGTTGGTTTTCACGCTGTGGCTTGTATTTTTACAATTTGTCATGCAATTGGTTCCTCGTAATTATTTAATTTTCATGCATTGTTATGAATAAATAGCCTGCCAAATGTTAATTAACCATATGCTTTTTATTTCATATATTTGTTAAGTTTTATATTTTTATTATGTTTATATGTACAATAATAGATCTGATCTCATACTTTTTTTTTTTAACATTAATCCATTAAGCGAAATCAAATGATATTGGGAATGCAATATTAAATCAAAACGCGCTCTCATCTATCATGTGGAACAAATTAATAGCATACAATGTCCTTTATAAGTTTAATTTCACAAACAGAATAACTTGATCTATTTTAAATTTATGATCAATTTAAATCTTTTCAATATGTTCACCAACAAATCAATTTTTAATTATTGATTAGCCCTATTTGATCTTTATTTGAAACGCGTAGAGCCAGATAATTTTAATCTTTGTTCACTTTGATCCTACTAAAAATAAATTTAATATATGTCATATCTTCATTTTAATTTCATACATCTATACATATTTACAACATATAAAATTTATTTTCCTATTTTATAACATAATAATCCACATTTTATTTTCTACAAAAGAAAAAAAAAACTATATAATAATACTTTAAAATTTTCATCATAACTAAAAATTAAATGCCCTTTATGATTAAAAAAAATTAATTTAGAATCTCTCCAAACAGATGGTGGAAAAAAAAAAAAAAAACGGAGAGCTGAGACTTTATGATGATATATGTCCCTTTACTCTTCTGTCTTCTCCTCACCTATAAATTCGAGAAACATCTTTTTCGAATTTATAAACTGTTTTTTGCTATTTATTTTTTACCAAAATGTATATTATAAGTACTTTGAGCCTCCAAAATTTAAAATAAATCTTTTGGCCTTTTCTCACTTTAAATTAAACCTACTTCTGCCACTGTCCACTGGTAAATTTTTTACCCATATTTATAAACGTTTGGGCAATTTTAATCTTAGGTTTCAAAAGCATGAGGAAGCATTTAATTCAATAGATATTTGTATACATAAAAAAAAAATTACAAGAAGACTTTGGCTGTAATTTTCGATGATGTGCTTAAATTTAGCTAGGAAGGAGAAACGTAGCATTCGAGTGAAGTTTGTGTCCAAGAATGTGTACCAATAAGTTTGGGTGGAAAATTAATGAGTTAAAACGAACAAAAATGTAATTAATTAAACAAGTTCAAATTGCACCCAATAGTAGTGTTTCTTATTTAAGTTAGAAAAGAAGTTAAAACAACATTAAATTTTAATTATTTTTTTATTTAATCATAAAATATGTTCTCTCCAATTTTTTTATTTAATTTTCAATTTTTTTACTTCGTGTTATTTTGAATCAAACCTAAAACAATCAATGTTTTGTTCTATTCCATGGAGAATGACACTTCCCAACACCATTTTAGAGGCTTCATTCTGCTAACTTGTATAACAATTAAAATAGATAATATTTGAATTTTTTTTTTTATATACATACAACATAATTTTTCTTTATTTATAAATCTTATATCTAAACATTCATATTTATTTATATGATTGCTATGATCAATTTTTTTCTCTTTATCATTTCATTTCATACATCATGCATGCACCAATTAGAGCTGCCTACATATGATTGTTATGATCGATTTGAACTAATGTATATAAACATCATCATGGGATGCTGAAAACTTAATTAAATTTTATGGCAATTATATATAAGAGGAGAAAGAATGAATGAAAAGATATGATATGTCACATATCACATAGCATGCATGGGCATGAAGATGTTAAGATGATGCACAACAATCCATCCTTGATATGAGAGGAAAATGAGCAACATTACAATATATTAATTTGTCGTGACATCCCATGTGGATGACAGATATTTATTAATAGGAAGGTTTCCTAACTCTTATGAATGACATGTACTCTCGTATGATGATGTAATGCTAGATGTATTAAGGACAAGGTTCAATGATATCAGATGGTTATCATTAGTTGTGATTGTTATGCTTTTACTCCCCCAGATATTGTTTTCGCTCTGCTAGGGTTTCCCCCTTGCGGCGTCTCGCCGCTGTCCGGTGGGCGGGCTGGCTTCGTACTTCCAGGGAAGTTCCTCCATTCATCTTTCTCCTTGTTTTTGTCCTTGTTTCTGAGATTTTGAGAGGCTTCATTCTGCTAACTTGTATAACATTAAAATAGATAATATTTGAATTTTTTTTATATAAATACAACATAATTTTTCTTTATTTATAAATCTTATATATAAACATTCGTATTTATTTATATGATTGCTATGATCAATTTTTTCTCTTTACCATTTCATTTCATACATCATGCATGCACCAATTAGAGCTGCCTACATATGATTGTTATTACAAGAAATTATTATTATCTGATGTGTCTTTACAGAGCTGTACACACTTTAATAAATATACCAGAGGTAGTACGGATCAAGAACCTGTACACCAATAGGATTGCTACACCTCATTTCTAAGTACAATAATATAAACGTATTATTTAAATCTGTTGGTTCTAATACGCCCCTGCAAACTGATGGTTCTTGAAGAACCGTCGGTTTGATCCGTAATTTATGAAAGCGAGGTGTAGATAAAGATTTGGTAAGGATGTCTACCACTTGGTCAATCGTACTAATTGGTAAAATTGAAATATTGTTTTGTTGTATATGATCCATTATAAACCTTCGATCTATCTCGATATGTTTGGTGCGAGCGTGGAAGACAGGATTGTTGGCTAGAGCGATGTTTAGAAAGTTCAAATTGCAGTTTATGACACTTAGACATTACACAAGCATTACAGTTGTCCACATATGTTCCTAGTTTAAGACTCGGGTTACAGCTAGAAGTCAAATAAAATATATGCTTGTTCGGGTGACCGAGTCTTTGGTGCCAAGACACCGTCGGCGACAGAGATGTGGCAAGCGCTTGGTGCTTATTGGTAGAACGATTTGTTGGCATCCTGTATAATCCATCTTTACAAGGCCCTTGAAAAAGAACTTTGTCAGTCTTCAGGTCCTTTAAGACAAAGCCGGATGGGTCAAAAACGATAGCAATGTTGTTATCTTAGGTTAGATTAGAAATTGAAAGTATACTGTAGTGTATAACAGGAGATTGAAGGATTTAAGATAAATGCAGCTTAGGTGACGGGGTCGGGAGGATTCCCGCCCCGGTGTTGGTGATGTTAACCGAACTGCCATCTCCAATCGTGATGTTGTCTGAACCTTGATAGGGTCTGGAGATCGAGAGGTTATCAATGGAATTTGTAAGATGCGTGGATGCGCCAGAGTCCAAGAACTAGTTGGAGTCATTAGTTTCTGAATTTGCAACAAGTGCAGTGGTGTTTTGTCTAGTGGATTGAATGTACTGAATATTCAGTCGATGCCAGCAGGAGGATGCCGAATGACCCTTCTTAAGGCAAATTTGACATATAAGAGATGTTGTAGCTGTGGTTCTTGGTGCAACATTGTTATTAGAAGAGTTCCTGTCTTGAGATCTGCGGCTGCATCCCCTATAGGTAAAGAGCACCATGTTAGGATCTGGATTGCTGTTTGTTCTGGCTGCATCTTTAGCAAGATTGACCTCCTCACTTAGAAGGAGAGGATATAATTGATCAAGATGAATTGGTGTGAGCATGGTTCTTATAGCTGTTTTGAAAGATTGGTATGACGTAGGGAGACCATTGAGGATGTACAAGATTATGTCTTCAATGTCTACAACGGAGCCTGCACCGGCGATCTTGTCGACAAGGGACTTGATTTCGGTAAGGTATTGGATCATGGTGGAGTTCTTGAGGGAAATGTTGTGAAGCTCATTCTTGAGCTGAATAACCTTGGACCTATTTATGGATTGGAATTGAGTTTCAAGGGTGGTCCATATTGCGGATGTGGATTCAAGTGGAAGATGTAGGGTAAGACAGTAGCAGAAATTGTCGAACAGATCGAGGTAGAGAGATTATGATCGGTAAGTAACCATTGGGAGAAGAGAGCGTTTGGTGAGGACGACCCGTCTTGATTGGTGATGGTTTGAGCAGGGGGCGAGCAGGTTGGATCAAGAAATTGCTGAAATCCATTTGCCTGGATGATTTTAAGAATTTGAGATTTCCATAGGGAATAATTCTCTGGGGAGAGCTGTATAGAAACGACATGCTTGATGTTAGAAACAATAAAATTTAGGTTGGAGGGGATGACCGGATCGGTGTCGCCATTGGAGGAATGAGAACGGCGATCGTCGCGGTGGAAGTAGCGGAGTGAGCCATCGATCAAGGAAGGACCGGCAACCTATTCTGATACCATGTAGAAACCGGAAGAACAGAGAAGAAGCCAGAAGACAGAGAAGGAAAGAACAAGAAATTATTATTATATGTTGTGTCTTTACAGAGCTGTACACACTTTAATAAATAGACCAGGGTACGCAGTACGAATCAAGAATTTGTACACCAATAGGATTGCTACTCAGCACATAAAGTAAACATGTAGCTAGTCTTACCTAATTCAAATGAACGAGTCAAATTAAAACACCAAGAAGATATCAGTGAAGTTTTCGGTACCTTAAACGTGAGTTCTTTTATTTTGCTATGATTGGTATGGTGGTATGTGGTCGGCTGGCTTTGCCAATTTTGGGCTGCATAGGGACGATGAGCGCTTCAAATTAAGCAGAGTATTCGCTCTGTATATAGCATTAAGCATTGTACATTTTTGCAGGTAACTAAAATGGATATTTTGGCATTTTATAAAAAAAATACCAAGAGATCATCACAAACAATAAAAAAAACCTAATCAGATGACTTACCCAACGTTTGCTTGGTTAAGGTGCGAACGAAAGCGGCAGCGAAGATCTTCTTAGAATGGAAGCAGTGGCGTCAGCGTCGTCGTCGTTGTCGGTGTCGTCTTCGTTGTCGCCGTCAGCGTCGTTGTCGCCGTCCGCGCGTTGAAGGTTGGGGAGGAGGCGGGCTGCCGCGGGGAGAAGAAACGGAGAAGTAATTTGTTCGCAGGAAGAAGAGACGCGCGGAGAGTAAAGAGATCGCGCGGTCGAATAAGAAAGCTAGGGCAGATTAGGTTTTTAATTTTTAATGCTAACCAATACGGTTTAAGACCGCTACAGTATTTCGGATATAGCAGCAGTTATTAATTTGCTGCTAATATATGCTGCGAAAACTCTAGATTTTTAGTAGTGTAGGGTCGACCCGTTTGAATCCGGGTCAGTTTCGGGTCTGACCCGAACCCGACCCGTGACCCGAAATTGACACCCCTAATTACAATATATAAATTTGTCGTGACATCCCATGTGGATGACAGATATTTATTAATAGGAAGGTTTCCTAACTCTTATGAATGACATGACATGTACTCTCGTATGATGATGTAATGCTAGATGTATTAAGGACAAGGTTCAATGATATATGATGGTTATCAATATAATTTCATTCAAGAGATATGCATGCAGATAGACATAATTATTGCATTGCTAGTGCTGCATGCATGTTTGTTATTGCGGTTGCATTTAATATTTGAAAAACCATTTGGAAGGTCTGCTAACCAAACTAAATTGCTTTGATGTGCATGGGACATGCCTTTGGCCTCCCCTTTAGGATATTGGCTAAATCAGGTTGAGTTTGCTCTTAATCAAAGAAGAAGCTCGATCGACATAGAGACCAATGAGAGGAATGAGAGATTCTTCCTAGTGTATAATTAGTTGTTTTATTTTATTTTATTTAATATGTTAGTGTCAACTGAACATAAGAAATTAAGAAATTAAATAATTAATTAAAATAAATAATTAAAAAATAATAAAAATTCTGAATTAGTTTCAAACACTAGTAATCATTCTTAGGAATCATTTTTGACATTTGGAGAATATTTCATGAAGTTTGAAGTTGATTTGGAGCTAAAATAAAAAATCCCTAATTATCTTTAATTAAATAATTCATTAAAATTGTCAAACTTAAGGGTACCAAGAATTGTATGGTGAATTGACATTGAACAATTGTATGGTGAATTGTATTGATGATGGTGCTAGGGATGATGTTGTGAATTTTGGCTCTGCTGACTTGGAGTTGGATGCTACTGTTCCTTTGGGTAGACCGCCTGAGGCTGTGAATGTTGGGGATTCTAATGATGCTTTTGGCTCTTAAGGGTACCGAGAATTCCACTGGTGCTTTTTGTGATGGGGTTGTGGTTGTGGAGGCTGTTAGTCCTACTGTTATTATTGGAAATGAAGTGTCTCTTGGCGTCGTGGCTATTATCCCTTCTATTGTGTCTCCTATGATTCCTGTAATTGATCGGCTTGTGTTGTTCTCCTTTGTGGGATTGGGAGTAGATGAGCGGCTTGTTGATGTCCTAGTTGTTTTACTGTCTGCTAATGCCTTTTATGCTCAAGTGGGTGTCAAATCGAGGAATAATTTTAAGTCACAAATTGATTGGCTTCATGGCTCTTCATCTACTTCTTCGAAAGTTGATGAAGAGGAAGTGTTTGAACAAGAGGATGGTTTGCGAGAAATATCATTTGTGGTGGTGGTGGTGGTGGTGGTTGGGGGTGTAAACGAAGAAAGAGGAAATCTAAAAAATAATTTTCTTGTGTTTGGCTTGGTGGCTACTACTTTGATGTCTTCTCTTGCTTATTGCATTTTTGCCTTTTCTGGTGTGGATTGTGCTACTGGTGTTATTTCTGATCCGAGAAATGATGTGGTGGGTCTCTTCTATCATTCCTGACAACATGGTTTGTTGGAAACCATTGGTTGCTAGTGTGGGCTTTAGCTGTGTGGTTCGGTTTTTATTCCTCTTTTGGATGGCCCTTGCCTACGTTTTGGGTAGTGGATGTTAATCCGCCTTTAACTGAGCCTATCTCGTTTATTAATGTTCGCATTGATGTCGGTTGTCCATTTTTGGCTGTGTTGGCCTTCATGTGTTGTTTTGTTTGGTCTAATCTTCTTTGTATCTCCCTTTTTTTTTTATGGAATAAAGTGTTAAAAAAATTTAAAATGATCAAACTTTAAAAAATCACAACTAATTAAAAAAATATAAACTTAAAGGTATCAAAGTCATAATTGGGTCTAATATTTATTCAAAATATGAAACTTTTAGAATCTATAATAAATTACAAAGTAAAATTTCAAGTCAAACCTACTTAAGGGTACTAATTAAAAATCTATGAACTTGATCAAACTTTTAAACTTTAGGAGTAAATCAAGTTAATGAACTTAAAATTAGTAAGAAATTTATTGAAAATAATAACCATAAGTTTGAGCAAAATAAATAATAAATATGACTAATTAAATATATGATAACTCGGTCATACGAGACTATATATTAAGTTAGCTCAAAGGAGGATAAAATAAATCTCACGGTAGTGGTGTAACAAATATTTTCCATCGAAAATTTCATCGGAAATTTGCCTGAAATGTTTCCGGCGAATTCATTTTCGTCGGAAGTCCTTTTATGACGCGCGTGAAACCGGCGGAAATATTTCTGCCGGAAATCCGCCGGAAATGCAATTTTCTGATGGATTTTGATCATCGCCGAAAAATGACGTTTTTCCTGTAGTGTAGACCGTTACACGCATACTGTAATTTGATTACTATGATAACCAACTCTAATTTTAGACTAAGTCGTTATTCTTTCATGTGATTTCTTTGTGATGTGTTTATTATTTTTCTATGATGTGAAAATTATTTGATTTGTGAATGAATGTTATTTGCTATGTTTTCATGCCATGAGTTTTATGATACTTATGCTTTGATACTTATGCTATGGTTGTTTTTCTCCTACAATCTGTGATGGGAGTTTAGATTTATCCTATGTTAGGAGCTATTTTGATGTTAATAGAATTTTTTACATGTGGTCATATTTATGCAGGGCTAGAAAAGGGGACTAATTAAAATGTTAATTAAAAAAAAATTTACAGATTCTTTCATAGCTTAGCCCCTAAAAAAATTAGAAGTATGGTCAAATTGTTATGTTTTTTTTCAAAAACAAGCAATTGATTTTATATATATATTGGGATTTTTGTGATTGATTTTATATGAATTGCTTAGGATTGCCTATAAGGTGTATGAAGACTTTTATTTTTCTCAAATGTAAATGTAATTTAAAAAGAGTTGTGAAACTTAATTAAAATAGAGCATTTTTTACATCTAACTTGAAATCCAAAGAGAAAGGATATATCCCTCGGGGGAGAGTTTTTTCCATTTGTAGCTACAAATTTGGATAATTTGGAACCTAAAGATGAAAGAAACACCCCTTAAAGAGGGAAAACTTATTTTCATTTAGATATCCAAATCTGACGGAACCAAGGAGCTTGAAGAAGAAAGCCAAAGAAATGAAGAAAAAAAATGCTTCACCTTAAGATAATTTTCACCATTATATGAAAATTCTGGTTGTTGGTGAAACCTGGCCACCTTTACATTCTATAGACCATGGTTTGTAATTAAGTGACATTTACACATGGTCTTTTATTTTTTATTACTCAGGTTGATTTTGGATTTACAAATTCTTCTTTATTCACATTATTTATACATTAGAAATTGTCTACTTTGGTAGGTTTGTTTCTTGTACGCTTTGTTGTAGCCTAGATTTTGTTAGGCTAATAATAATAATTAAAATCTTCTACTTATAACTAAAAAAAAAAAGAAATTAGGCTCACATATAAAGATAAATGCTTCTAAGAGATAAACTAGAGCATGTCTGAAGTTCTCATACATTCATACCTTTCTTCACTCCTTACTAGGCACATCTCCGCTTGCAGGTCGTGGCAGACCATCTAACATATTAGGGTACAATTTTGTTTAGGGGATATTATGGTATCTAGAAAAAAATTATTTTATATGCCTAATTTTAAAGTTCAACATATCATTTTTGCATAAAGAGTCAATTTACATGCATTTGCATTAGAAAAAAATGAAAGTTAATTAAAATTTAATTGCATTGTGCATAATCATACCATTCATAACCATTTAAAAAATTCTCTAAATGCCAACCTCAAATTATTAAAAACTTAAATAACAATATACCAATCTTTCATGTGTTCGGAATCATAATTTTAAAGTGATTTAGTTTGCTTTCCAATCCGGGTTGATGTAGTCCATAGTGCATTAAATAAGTTTAGGCTACTACTATGTAGTACCCAACTTAGATTTAGGCTCCAAAACATACCTCAAATCTTAAGTCCTCATGATGATTGCTAGTTATGAATTGGTTAATTTCATGCAAATTTTTTTGTGCTTTAAGTTCAATTATAGGATTTTAGTGATTAGCTAGGCTTTTTAACTCATTATATATAGTTTAAATAATTTTACCAGGAAAGAGGATCAAGAGTATGAGATTGATTAGTTATAGGATTCCTCAAGTTTACTATTATATTATCTTTTTATCTTTATATATTATTTTGTATTGAGGAATGGATGGATATTGTATTGTATTATATGACTTCTGGCAATTGTATATTATTTTTGGAGAATTATATATATATATATATATATATATATATAGATGTTTTGGTCAATATATTTATTTTGTTGATTTTTTATTATTGGAAAAAATTAGATAGCTCTGGTTGTTATTATTAAAAGATAAAACATATAATTCTTTTCAATTTAGATTAATGGGGCGTGGTAATGAGCTTCCTTGATATAGTTATTATATGAGCATCCATTCAATGTTATAATTAGAGTTGTGTCAAGGCTTAGTTAACTTTCCATAAATGGTGACAAATAGTTATGTTATAGAATCTTTGTAGTAAAATAGAGAAAGTTTATGATAAAAAATAGGGCTATCACATCATAAATTTTGACATATAGCAGCGGTTATAATCGCTACTTTTTTCTTTACAGTGGTTTTAGGACCGCTATAGTTATAATGGGCCGCAAGGACTTTCCGCAACGATTTATGGACCAGCAGGGTAGTTTTTCCAAAATGCTAAATTTAGCAGTGGTCATAATCGCTACAAACTTTCAGAATTACAACGATTATAAACGCTATATATAAGCAACAAAAAAGTGATCCACAATTCTGTATGTTGTGGCGGTTATAACCACCACAATGGTCCAAAACTTTTTTTTAAAAGCAGAACCG